TTGATCAAAACCTCAGTCTTATACAAAGATTAACTTGAAGTGGGTCATAGATGCAAACGTAAAACATAAAGGTATAAAACTTTTGGAAGAAAAGATTGGAAAAAATGTGCATGACCTGGTGTTAGAAATGATGCCAGAAGCATAACCTAGAACAGAAAAATTAAATTGTACTTCATCAAAATTAAAAATTTTTGCTCTGCCTTAAATACTGTCAGGAGAATTAAGAGACAAGCTACAGAATGGGAAAAAATATTTGCAACTCACATATTTGACAAAGGACTTGTATCCAGATTATATAAAGAGCTCTCCAAACTTAAGAACTCTCAAAACTCCAAAAACTCAACTTAAAAATGGGCGAAGGACTTGAACAGACACTTCACCAAAGAGGATATAAGGATGGCAGATAAACATGTGAGAAGATACTCAGCATCATTAGCCATAGGGAAACACAAATTCAAACTGTGATTGTGTACCACTCCACACGCACTAGAATTGCTAAGACAGAAAATAATGACAACACCAAGTGCTGGCAGCTGGGACGCTCATGCACTGATGGGACTGCAAAATGGTACCCCTCTCTGAAAAGTCATTTGACAGTTTCTTAGGAAGTTGTAGGTACACTGACGATGTGACCCAGTAGTCCTACTCCTGGGTATCCATCAGTGAAATGAAACCTTGCGTTCAGTCAAAAATCCGTACATGAATGTTCGTAACAATTTTATGTGATGACCAAAACCTGGAAACAGCCCAGATGTACTTCAAAGGATGAATAGGTTAAGTGTGGTACGTTCACACAATGAAATAGCACTCAGCAGTAAAAGCAGTGATACACATAACTTGGATGAAACTCAAAGATGTTACAGTGAGTGAGGCAAGCCAGGGTTGAAAGGTTTTATACTTTTTGATCCCTTTTATTTGACATTCTTAAAAAGAGAAAACTATAGTCCTGGGATACAGACTGGTAGTTGCCAGAGGTTGTGCATGAAGGTGAAGGTTTGTAGATCAGTGAGTTGTACCAGGGAGCTTTTTGGTTGTAGGAACTGTAACGTCCCCTCTTTGTGGTGGCAGTTACACAAATGCATACATGTGTTGACATTTACAGAACTGTACACTAAAAAAGTCAGTCTTACCATATAATAAAAAGATGATTTTTTAAAATGTCAAACTTCATTCTGTTTTATGAATCTTTGTAGGTGAACTTGTTTTTGTTTTGTGTTTTATTGTTTTTCTCCCCTCTTACTTTGCTTTGGTATAGATAATTTTCATATACTGTTCTCTCTTCTTGGTAAGCCCTTTTAATTTGGAAACCCATATTCTTCAGTCCTGAGGGTCTTCTTGGTTTTTATTATTGTTGTATTTTCTCCATGTTTTTCTCAATGTTTCTTCCTCACCCACCCACCCCCACTCCCCTGCCCATTTTCTCTGTTCTCACTTGCTGATATTTTTCAGACATTGAAACTCTTAGCTTGTTGGTTCTCTAATTTTTTAATATTTTCTCTCCCGTTTTCTGTCCTTCTTTATTTTTGTCTTTTTGTCCATTTCTGAAGACTTAGTTAATTTTAAGTTTCAAACGGTTGTTTAATAACCAAGAATTCATTTTTTGTTCTCTGTTTCTTTTTCAAGGTATCCTATTCTCATTTCTTTGTTGTAATATCTTTTATTACTGGTAGTAATTTTCTTCTTCCTGAAAACTTTTCTATTTTCCTGTTATGTATTTCTTATTAGATGTTTTCCTTCAATATCTGATGGTCCTTTGCTTATGTTTAGGAGAAGGATGCAGGTGCTCACTGGGTGGGCGTGCATAGCGTCTTATGGGGCTTGTCAGTTTTGAGCTTCGGCCTCCAACAGTCTGGTTGGGCTGTATAGTTGGGAATCCTTCCAAGGCAGTATCATTGGTGCTTTCTTTTTAATCTGATAGAATTTCCAGAGAGATTTTTTTTTTTATCTCCTACATGGAGGGAAAGACCTGGTTCAGTGGAGAGAGAGGGCTGTGGGTCTCAGTATCTAGAATATTTATTTAATCTCCTTAGTTCCAGTCCAGTGTCTCGTCCTCAACTGTATCTCTGTACTGCTAATCAAGAGGCCCTGTGTTGTACCTTTTCAAGGAATAACTCTTCAGTATTCTGCCCCAGTAGCAGGAAGAGGCTGGGGAACTAATTGCTTCTGAAGCTAACTTTCAGCCAACACACTCTAGCCATCCTCCTCCCCTCTTCCACTTCCGCTTACGTAGGTATCTGGCTCTGCCAGCTTTACTCTTTCAGAGACTCTTCTCTGTAAAATCAAGTGGGTTCTTGTTTCGTCCCCAAGCTTAGCTTAGGTTTAGTTTTCTATACTTGATCTGTATGAGGGAAAATGTTCTAGCTCGAGTGATGCAGGACCCTTGAACAAAGGAGTATTTGGGTCACTTTATGGACAGACCCCACCATGCAGCAGCGTAACAACTGGTAGAATGCCCACATTTATTTTGCTTGGATTTGCTGAATCATTTACTTCAGTCATCAGTTTGCCTTCCTGCTTGCCAATTGTATTGGTATCACTCCTTCCCTTGTGTTTGTCTTGTTCTTGTGTGTTTGTGACTTTAAAAAAAAAACAACAAACGGGTTTTTTTTTTCTATTGTTTTAGTGGAATTCTAGTAGGGACTGAGTATGCCGTGTGTGTTCAGTTCTATCTTTCACCTACAACTTCTGTCTATATTCTTTTGCTGATGATACACAGTCTCAGCGCTTTGAAGATCAGCCATAGCTTGGTGATCCTCAATTTCTGTCTCAAACTCTACTTCTCTTACCTCTGGTCTTTGGACATACAATTATAACTGCTCACTTGCCATTTCCTCTTAATGTATCTAATACACACCTCAGACATTTCATTCCCAACCGTCTCTTTGAAATGCCTATTTCTCATCTATTCTTGTTCTCGGTACCACTTACTGACCACCCACTTGTGTAGATCCCAAATCTCCTTCTTTCTTTCCTACATCAACTTCATCAGCAGGTCCTGTCCGTTCTAAATTCAAAATATATCCAGAATTCATCTAGTTCTCTCCATCTTTGTGGCTGCTACCCTGATCAAAGTCATTTTCATTTCTCACCTGGGTCCATGCAGTAACCCTGCAACTCCTCCCTGCCTGCACTCTTGCCCTGCTCTACAATCCACTGTCTACGCAGTAGCCAGAATGAACATTTTTAATTAAAAAAAAATTTTATTGTGTTAGTCACCATAAAATACATCATTAGGTTTTGATGCAGTGTTCCAAGATTCATTGTTTATGTATAACACCCAGTGCTCCATGCAATCCATGTCCTCCTTAATACCCATCACTGGGCTCACCCAACCCTCCACCCCCTCCCCTCTAAAACCCTCAGTCTGTTTCTCAGAGTCTGCAGTTTCTCATGGTTTGTCTCCCCCTCCGATTTGTCCCAATTCACTTTTCCTTTACCTCTCCTAATGTCCTCCATTTTATTCCTTATGTTCCACAAGTGAAACCATATGATAATTGAATAGCAGCAATGGCCACAGTTGCCAAACTGTGGAAAGAGCCAACATGTCCTTCAACAGACGAATGGATAAAGAAGATGTGGCCCATATATACAATGGAATATTATGCCTCCATCAGAAAGGATGAATACCCAACTTTTGCATCAGCATGGATGGGACTGGAGGAGATTATGTTGAGTGAAACATTTTGAATTCTAAATTAAGCCACATCCATTCCCTGATTCAAAACCCACAAAGCTATCCCCCTGTACTGTGAATGGTGTCCACATTCCTGACTGTTTCCGTAAGGTCCTTGCCTAACTCTCAGACTTCAGCTCCTACCAGTGTCTTCCTGGCTCCTTCTCTGGTGACACAGGCCTTTCTGGTATCAAACACACCAAGCTTGTTCCCTCCCTTGGGGCTTTTGTAGTTGCCATTTTGTCTCCCTGAATATCCTTCCCCCATGTCTTCATATGGCTCACCCCTCCATTCATTCAAATCTCTGCTCAGATAGCATCACCTCTGAGAAGCCTTCCCTGACTAGCTGCTCCACCTGTCTTCCAGATATCTCTGTTACCTCATCTTATTTATTTCCTTTTGAAAGTATCTTGTTCTTTATTGTCTTTCTCTAGCCATTTGAGTGTAAAGCCTGTGAGGGCATTGGTCTGATCGATCTTGTTCTTTGCTGGTACCATCACACCTAGAGCAGAATCTGGCTCATAGCAGATGGTTAATCAAGGAGTCTTGGACAGCTAGGTAGGAGGGGAGGGTGAATAAATGCCTTTTGAATTCTGTTTGTATGGTTAGCAAGCTGATTCTTCCTGGGCATCTCAGAATCGAGCCTTCCTAGAGTTCGTTCCCATCTTAACTGATTCTACTTCCGAATGTCTTTAACTGTCCCCCCGTCTTCCTGCCAATAAGTTTCTTTTAGGGCCGAAAGCTTGAATTCCCAAAGAGCAGATGGCTGATCCTGTTTTTCTTTCTCCCTGCCTTTAGCCATGCAGTCACACCTTCGGCTGTATTTTGTGCAGGAGCCAAGATGGTATTTTGGTGGAGGGATGGCCAGTGCATTTGCTCATCCCTCAGACCCGCCGGGGTGTGGTACTGGACTAGAAATGAGAGATCACAGCTAGAAATTGAGCCCTGCTGACTCACCTGTCACTATTAGCATTCTGCTTTTGCTTTTCTGCTCTCTCCCAGTGTCTTTTGATTTTTAACATCGACTTCTGCCAGCCAGTGATCCTGTTAAAACCGCCAGTGAGATTGAGGCCGGGGTGGTGTCAGTCAGTTGCATTTCCTCATCTTCAGAGAGGAGCTGCGAGATGACAAATTGTGAAGCCGCCTCTGTCTAGTCACCAGTTGTAAATACGATGCCTTCTAGTCGGCTTGTCCTAGAGTCATGTAGTACTTTAGTGTTTGTGGGTCCACCTACAAGTGTCTTTTTAATATCTGATGAATTAGGGATGAACCCAGGAAATGACCCCTTTGCTTTTTTGTTTTCTTCTCTCTGTTTTGTACAAATCAGGAGGTTCATCAAGAACGGATTGCATTGGAAAATCAGTTGGAACAACTTCGTCCAGTCACTGTGTTGTAACCCCCAAGATTCAAGTAACAGTGGGTGACTTTTTCTGCCAAGATATTTCCTTTGAATATTTCAACCCAACTAATTGTCATAGAGATGTCCAAGACTGTGTGAAAAACTGCAAGCCGCGGAATATAATCCACATTTCCTTTTCTCTTGTACGTCCCTTAGACATTTTACTCTGGTGGAAAAAATACAACTGATTATCACACTTGAAACTGTAATTTCAGTGGAATTTATCTTCCATTCTTAAGTACTTCCTCAAGTTGTTAGATGTTGCTCCTTACCAAAAACCAATCTTCTAGCAATTAAAAACAAGTAGAGCATTATTTATTTAAAGAATTTATGATTTGTATAAAATATCAATACCTAGTACCTTCAGGATGCTTGTTTTATTTTTGTATGTATATCAAATACAGTAGGTTGGTTTCCTGAATAATTGGGATTCCAACTGGATAGTCTTTGGCATGATGATAATAAAAGTGAAAACTAAAACAAGAACATCAGATTTAGACAGGCACTGTGCCCTCTGCCACCATATGCCAAAAATTGCTTCTCTAGTGCCATTTGGACATTGTATCTAGCTATAAATAATACATAACTATTGTTTTCTGTTGAATGACAGAGATTTATTGGGTCTTTGCACCTCTGTAAAGTGGAAGTTTTGTCAAAGATCTATTTACCTTGGCCCAGCTAGGCCATCAACTCCTAGAACTCAGTCCTTTCATGTCAATTTTTGGGCAAGAGCAGTCTGCTTTAATCGCCTCACCTGATCAAATTAAATAAATAGTTGTCAGATCTCTACTTTTATCCTGCATGGGATACCACGTCTGTGAATGCATGATTTTGGAGACCACACATCAGATGTGAAAGGCTGAAGAGACTGTTTGGACTGATCAATATTTGTTGCTTGAACCCAGGTACCCACCCTGGAGAAGAAGGGGAAATGGTGGTTACCAGCAATCCAACAACTCTGGTAGTTATTTTTGTCTTTGTTATTTTAACACGGATTGTGATTGTATTGAGTATGAAGGAATAATGAAAGAAAACTGATCTTCACTCTGGATATACAACTGTTTGTTCTCTGTGAAGTCTACCTTGGGAAGTGATTGGTTTATGCACTGACTAGCGGAGCCCAGCTGTCTCCAGTGTATGTGATGTAAGACCGTGAGCTCAAATCACACGAGCCAGTATGCTGTAGAAGTTTTGGTCACCCGCTCCTCCTGAAAGCCCAAGGTGAAAGTGGGAAGTGAGTGACCCCACAGGGATCAGGGCATGCCCACTCTCACATCACTTTGAGAGACTGATTACAAGAAATGCTCTCTCTTGTGCATTTTGCTAATTTACCCATTCTTAGAGTGGAGGTGTGGGGTGTGCCTGGGGTCCTTTTTGAGGTGGTTTAGGATAAGGGATTAAGCCTTTGGTTGCCATAGAGTTGACAGCTTTTAGAATAAGGAGGTGTTTATTTAATGCTCCCTTATTTTATTTGCAAGCTTTATCAATGGCTTAATGGTAGAAGAGAAAGGCTCAAGCAGATGTTTTCCCAAAGAAAAACAAATTGTTGGTTCTCTTCTGTGCATATGAAAAGATTTTTGAATTGATTTGATTTTGAAAATCCCAGAGTTTGAACCATTTCTCTGGTCCCCCTTTCCTTCCCTTTTGGTTGTTTTTTCTATCCCTTGGGAGGGGTGTGGAGTCATTTTAAATGCTTCCTAAGATTATGAATGGGCGGTGCAGACTTTCGAGGTAACCTCTTTTCCCGTGTCCTGAGATCTAGGGGCTAAAGCTATTTTTATCAACAGTGTCCTTGCTGCAGACATTCCATAGCATGCTTAGCTTTTGTTGCATTCCACTCGGGAAAGATTGTGTGCACTCTATCTCCTCGTCTTCCATGCCTATGCGCTCCCTCGAGATAGCACTGTGTGTCCAGTAAGGAGGCATACGAACTCAGGAATGTTAGTCTTTAGTATACATTTAAAAAATAGTGCTATGTTCCCCCGCCCCCATCAAATCAGTGCCAGAGTGAGAGAAATTAGGAGGTGGGGTTTTGTTTAGCCGGCTTGGTTTTTGCTAAAGGAACAAACTCACATTGGACAATTCAAGTCCCATGAGTTGCATAGTCTCACCAATATTTTAAGATGAGCATTGCATTAAAGCATACATCAATGTCTATACCCTCTGATTGCACTTAGAGGTGACCACAGTGTACTAGTTGCTTAGAAGTGGATCAAAAACAAACAAACAAATGTATACTATTATTATTACCTGACCAGTGCGCTTCTTCCATGTCTCTGTTTTCTCAGAATGTGCACTTCTAATTTAGGATTATAACTCCTGTTAATGTTTCTGTGAGCCTTCACTGTGGTGTATAGGAAGGCTGTGTTATTGAAATCACCATTATACCTCTTCTACAAAGCTTCTCCAAAATTAGATCTGCTTGTTGGGCAGAATTCAATGGACACAATGTCGATGTTGCCCCCATCCGTGGGGGTTTAATAAGCTTGTTGTTCAGTGGTCTTCCTTCAGAGGGGTCCTGTTGTCCCAAGGATGAAAGCACAGTAGGAATTGATAGTGGGCTGATGGGGTGCCTCAGTGTCTCTTGTAAGTGGTGTGTTGCTTTTGCCCTCTCCTTGTCCAGCAGACATGAAGTAAAACCGAGAGGTAGATATTTGGAATGGAGGTGCATGTTGTAATCAAGGCAGACACTCGGACTTTCTAAAGCCAAAGCTGAAGTCCAAACTAAAGTTGGAAAGATCTAACCGCTTCATGAATGTTGGAGAAGTGCTTTGGGCCTGATTGGGAAGGGAGACATCTTAGTTGGAAGCTAGGCCCATTTTACTCTCCTTGGAGAATAGGATGTCAGAGCTGAGAGGACTTGTACCTGTCTTCTGCAGTTTGCTTGTGGGGAAACCAAGGCCATCAGACACTACATTTTCTAGCCCAAGAATCTGTAGAAAGATAACTAGTGGCAGAGTTGGAATGCCAGCTAATGCTACAGATTCTAAGTCCCATCCTCTAGCCTCTAGCAGTACTAAAAATAGGCAAGAAGGGTTCCTTCTATTTACCATGTTGAATTTTATTTACTTAGTAAGTCTTCAAGTATAAAAACATGTTTCAGTGAGTTTTAGATCTAGATATTTCTGTTGGATTGAAGCAAAAAATAAAATCTGAAGGGAAGAATATGGTTGAACTGTTTGATCTTCTGAACGCCTCACCTTTCATGATGCAATAAATTACTCCGAGTTTTTTGGCAGAACTTTTGACAGCTGTTGCTTTGAATGGATTCCATTCCTGTATTCCTTATGGGAGTTTGTTTTTAAAATAGACTACTGCGATGGAAATGAACTCAATATGTAGTAAGTTACAGTTTTCTTCGATATGTCTTTAGTTATGTGGGTTGCAAATGTTCGCTTTCAGCATATTTTAGGGGGAGTAATCAAAAACATGCATTTTTCTTTGATTTCCTACCAGTGTCTGAACTGTCATAAAGCATTCTTCTCTTCCTATGTGACTTGATTCTATAGTCTCTTTATAAATGATAATTTGTCTATTTCTTAAATGATCTCTCAACTGTGGTAATAATAGAGGTGTACTTGAAAGATCAATAAGAAAATCATCTGGAATGGATGTTTTTCTTGCAATTAAGACAGGCATTTGCAAATATCTTCTTCTAAGCAGTAGTTGGAAAGATCTCAGTTACAGTATAACACCTTACAGCTAAAAAAATTTGTTCAGCACAAACTACAATCACACCTCCTGACTAGACCTCACCAAAGGAATTTAATTTTGAAAGTATAAAAAAAGAATTCCAAACATCATAGCAACCAGATATTCCTGTATTATTGACTAAGACTTAGTAGTTCATGGTTTAAACATTTTGAACAAAATGTAATATCAGTTTGAAGAAAGAAGGTCTTTTTCTCCACTCGTTAAATAAATAGAACGCCAGCGACTTCGGTTTCTCTTTCCAGCTGGCTTATTCTGTTGCATTCTTTGAAAACTCTGATTTCGAAGGATCTCTTGAATTTACACTTTAGTGATGGGTGTTTTGTTATGTTCTTTTTTTGCATCCATGACTTAGTGTGGTTCAAATTACTAGAAGAAGTGGGGATTTGGGTTTCTGGAGTTCTGAGGTGGCACCTCCTCTTTCAGCACGGGCCGAAGGCTATTGCCCACCAATGCCAACAGCTCGGTGACTGATGGCAACTGGCATGTGAGTCTTAACTCTGCGAGCCACCCACTTTGCTTGTTTGCAATGAGAAGTGCATCTGATTTTGTGACCCTCCCAAGAGGAACTGTAAGACCAGGCATGGAGGACCAGACTTGAAAAGCAGCACAGAGCCTAAGAGCTGCTGTCTCCCTCAGCAACAGGCGTTCAGAGGTTGCCTTACAGGTGTTCCCTGAAACAGCCAGTCTGTTGATGTGAACGAGAGATGCCAAGTACACAATTGCTTTTAGGCTTAGATAGTTAATTGTCTACATTTGCTAACCTACATGATGATAAAGTCAGGGTTTCAACTGAGAGGACTCATCCTAGTTACAGAAGCCTTGCTCCATTCTTAACAATGGGAAAACCTTTATTTTTTTGTGTGTTCGATGAGTTCTCCTGTCTTGCTCTAAGCTAAGTTCATGGCTGTGGGAAGTTGGAGAAAACGGGTTTGAGACTCTGAAGACCAGAGGACAAGGGACTTTCAAGGGGGCTTGTATTGGAATTTGAGGGCTATACTAGGGAAAATCAGGGACCAGTTCCGTCCTACTTAAGTACTCTGTTGGACAACAGGACTGGGTCCTAAATCTCCTTCACAAAGCTCTGCCCTCAGAACGGCACAGTTGTTGCAAGTACCCCATCATATGGCAATTGAATCGGCTGAGATTTGTTGTTTTTGTTTCATCTTAAGGCAACTTGTATGAGGACTTCACCTGTACCTATCTTGGGAACCGGGTGTACCTTTTTCTTTAGCACTGCCATTCTTTTTGTCTTCATCGCAAATACGATGTTCAAGAAAGCCAGAGGCAAGAAGGGCCATTATAGTCTTTATTGCAGTGGGCCAGGAGAGAGAATGAGCTGATGATCTAGTTTAACCTTGAGAATAAAAGTGTATATTTTTTCACTACAGGTACATTGAACAGTAAAATGAATAACAGCAAAGTATATATTTGATGCCTTCTGTCTTTTCATAATGTGCTGACAAGTTGTGTTAATAGTTTACTTAGCCAGAGTCTTACTCGTTTGCTAGGCCTTAGGAATATTACGTATATTGATCTTCAACATAAATAAATATAGGGTAACCTGTATTTGGATTGTAACTTGTAGACTGTAACCTTACTGCCTCTTTTTCACATTTGTTGGAAAGTCTGTGAAGAACATAGGTTAAAAGTCTCCTACTTTGGGAAACGTACATGATGTGAAACTGGGGTGCTATGTTAAAAATAAATGTATGATAATAAGTGTGGCTCGTCTGGAGTCTTGGTGTTGATATGCTGCGGCCTGCATTTGGTTTTGTGTATTTCGTGGAGGTGCCATGGAAAAGAGTTGGAGGTCTTCCCAATTAAATCGAAGTCTGAGGTTTGATTATTTTTACCTCCTAGTGATCTGAGGTGGGCCTTTAAACATCTGTACGTGGTAAACACTGGGCGATCATGGGGATCATGCCTAACTCATAGTGTGTTTCAAAGATCCACTGAATTGAAAACTTGACTTAATGTGGGGTCCAGGTAATTTGCTTCATCTTATCAGAATTCTTTTTGTTCAAAAATGTTCCCATCATCATATCCTTAGTTGGAGTGTAGAGATGAAGGGGGAGAGATCAGGAAGAGTGGGCATGAGAGCCTAGCCAGGTAATCTGACCTGTCAGCTGGAGTTTCTTACTTTTAAAATTTGAATACTTTTAGGAGTCCACCAGTCTCCTATCATATGGGGGTTTTATTCTGTATGGTGAATGCATATGGTGGGCTACACATGGGATATTTCTAGTAACCTAGTAGTTCTGAACACCAAGTGAACTCTGGAAAAAATCGTCTATGATCTGGCTCATAAGCTTGGGCACTGGAGATCACCTGGCCCTGATCTTTCCCAAGCACTGGTGAAGATCACTGTGCCCCTCACTCTGGAGATACAAGAGACCTGACATCCTCTAGGCCAGTGGTACCCAAAATGTGGTCCCTGGACCAGCAGTGTCAGTGTCATTGGGGAACTTATCACCGGAGAACAGTGAATCCGGGACTCTGGGAGTGGGCCTGGCAGCGTTCGGGATGACAACCCCTCTACGGGATACTGATGTCCACTAATACTGAACTACTGCTCTATATAACTTCATTTTACAGCCAAAGAAGCCGTGGTGCAGAGAGGCAACATGGACTCATCTAGGTCGTGATCAGTTAATTGACAGCAAAGGATCAAAAGGTTCCCAAGGGCAGACATTGTCCAGTGGCCAGTCATGAGTTCATTCCCTCTCCTGATCCTCCCTCCACAGATACCTGCCGTGCTTCTGCTGTGTGTCAAGCACTGTGTCAGGAGCTCAAGGTGAGACCTACAATACAGGATCC